TCATGAAATGCCTGAAATCGAGGGGGGCAATTTAGCAAAGCACCTTAACAGACGATTAAACGTCGGGAAACGGACTTTCATGGAGTATTTTAGATTCGAGATTATTTTTGTTAAAACACACAAGTTATAATACGTTACATTTTTATTGCCGTTTTAGTTTAAACGTAGTCGGGTATGTTTTATGGCAAAACGTTGAACAAATACGTCCAAGTTAATTTTCTGGGTACGCTTCCTGTTGAAGGCAAGAAGAACAAGATTGCGCTGGCGAAGCTGAGTCGTAGATCGTCGTTGTGGTGAGTCAACGCGAGTAAGAGTTGAAAAGCTGCTTCCACACACAGCGGTACTAGAACCGAATGTGGCAACGCTTGCAGCCAGTGCATATAATTTAGGGAAACCAATTTCTGCTCGTATAGTTTTTGAAGAACAAGATTGGAGTCCTGATTTTCTGTCTTGGCAACGTTATCTTGGAGAAATTGTTTTGACACCTCAATTGTTATGCTTCTCGAGGCCCTTTCCAGTATCACCTACAGCATGCTTCCAATCTGTGTAGCCTTCAGTGATGAATTTTTATGCACCCGCAGATGTATTGTGAAACACCCGACATGGAAATCAAAAAGGGGCGTCCCTTTACACTGAATACTCCAGCCATGGAAATCGATCATACCAGCTGTTACTAAAATGGCGACCAGACTTCGCTGGAAATTTTATTCTCGGTTGCTTTGGAACGTCTTCTTTTCCAATGTCACCTGGTACTCCTGTCTTTTCAGAGCATCTTGGTACTGCATCCGTTGTGTTGCCCGCTGTGGTTTTGATACCATTGTCAGTCGTAGTAGTGTCCGAACCATAAAGCAATTTGTCTTTTTTGATCAAATATTTATTCATTTTTCCTACGTTTGGTTGTTTGATTCATATGAATACAATTTAGGATAATATATGTCTATTAGTATTTATAATCAACCAATCAAATCTTTTGAATTTTGAGACGGGACAGATTACAATCCAGTATCAGACCAATAATTTTGTTACCAATGACGCTTTACTGCAGCCTTTTTATGATTTTCAACGAACTCAATTGTATCAAATTATCTATTCTAATGTAATTTAATTTAAAAATGTTATTAAAAGCTATGATGTCTGGTTTCATCCTCAGCTAAGTATAAACAGAAAGATGTGACTTAGGGGGTGCAAAGCCGAAATCAGCATGAACATTTTCATAATTAAAGGGGAATAATACGAATCTGTACTGAAAAATATGACTACAAAAACATTAATACAGAATCGACATAATTATATCAATACTGCGTTCACGAAACCCATCACGAGTAAGCATACTACATGAACTATCTATCTTAATATCACCATATTTTAATTTAAATGTTAAATTATAGGTCCGATATAGCACCTTAAAAAGTTTGTTAATCATAATGTATTAAACTTCTATGCAATCATATCAAAACCAGATTACAATTTCGTTTTCATTTTCGAATTGTAGGGTGGCAAAGTCCAAAGTAGGGAAGTATGCAAACTCTTTGGGTTTCGCTATGCCATCTCTATCCATCAATTGGTCATTGATATTAAACACGGGTCCTATGACACGCTTTGATTAGTTAAAAATACTGTCACCAGATGAGATTTGTCGTATTGTCCTTTTATATAAGTCAAAATTTCTTTTTGTGTTTAAAATATGAATTGATTATATCAAATTTTGTAATAAACCTATACATTCATTTAATTAATTGTGTCTTTGCGATTAGTGTGAATATAATTACTTAAGTAGAAGACTGGTGATACAAGCTATCGTTTTGACATGGCAATAGAAAGGTGGGAGGGGGTCCGTAAAGAGTACGTACGAACAGATAGCCCGAGGAAATACGCCATGTTGTTAACAAAGTAATTAGATTAATGAACATAAAGCTATTATAGGTAATTTAATGATCGACTCCATTCAGTTCCATGGAAATGTTTACCTCAGAAAATGGAAAATGACAATTAATGGCTTTGTTTCAGGAAACCACACCGCCGTTGATCAATTAGCCATTAAAAATCTAAAGTACAATAATAAAATGGTGTCTTACCGGACACTTCATTACCAACATCTGTCTATACAAATTTAATTCACCAAGGTAAGATGGGAACGAAGGAAATTTGATAACTGTGTACTGATTTATGCAAAGAAATATTACGACG